AATATGAATTCGGTTCGGTTGACATGATGAATGACCAGTTCAGCTCGGTTGCCGCTCCAGTTTACTCAGCATTTGGTGTGGTTATCCCATATCAGTAAAGTCTATTACAAATAAGACGTTTTTTTATATGAGTTTATCCTTGAAAGAGTGCAAAAAATTCCATTTAATGGGTCAAAATTGGGGTGCGATTCTTTTTTGTGTTTGAAGTTTACTCAGCTCGGTTGCCGCTTCAGTTTACTCAGCTCGGTTACTCAGTTTACTCAGCTCGGTTGCCGCTTCAGTTTACTAGCTTTTGTTTTCGCTGTTGTTTGAAGTTTTAACAACGGTCAAAATTGTGGTGCGATTCTTTTTTGTGTCCTACTCATGTGCGTTTAACTACATGTCAATTTCTCTGTACTGAATAATGGATACACTATACAGGCAACTCGCCATAAGTAGTTTTGACATCCTATCAGCTTTTAGTTTTCGGCCGTTGTCTTTGGGCCCCTTATTAATAATGGCAATTATTAATACACAAACTCAAGTTTTTTTAGACAAGGCCTAAACTAAGAACCAAGGCCCAAATTGAGTGTCTTGCATAAAGTGAGTACTTAATTGTGACTCCTAAATTACAAGCCCTTTCCTCTCTCTCAGATTATTGTCTCACTCTCACGACGGTATCAGCACGACCGGCGGCTGACCTCAGGCGCTCGCTCGTCTTCACCAGACTCCATTTAGGTCAGATATCACTCAAAATTACTCTTCTTCATTGCTTTTCTATTTCGTTTTCTTTCTAACCAATAACCCTAATTTGGTCCATTCCACAAATTAGGGAATGTATATGTTCAGTTTTCCTTAGTGTGTATTTCGTGCATGTACACTATATTGGATGGGATATTGTTATTTCGCCTGTTGATCAGTGTGATCAGTGTGCGTCTTTTGCATGTACAATATTGGTTCTGAAATTGTCACATAAAATTCTTCGGTTTGGAGAAAAAAAGTAGACAATCCTGTAAACCTAATCTACTTGAACTTTAGATTGGAATTGCGGAATAGTATATGTATGTGTCACTTGTATATTTTCACGATGTTGGTCTACACTGGATTGATGTTGTGTTCAATTGACAACTAATTCTCTTGTCTGCCTTCTAGACTCAGGTCTAAACTTGACTGCCTTATAAACAAACCCAATGTGTTTTTCTTAGGTGTTCTGTAATGGCTAAAGAATGGACAAGATTTTTCAAGGTCATTCTTGACACACAAATGACCTCCCTGGTACGAGGTTCTTTCTGAATAGCACAACATTTGGAATGTTTTTTCATACTACGATCTTCGTTGTACATTATATTCATCTAGATTTAAACTTACTTTACTTAGGCTCTCCCACCTGCAATTTCCAAATATTATGAGTCCGAGCTCCCAAAAAAATGTATACTCGAGACCAGAGAAGGACGTGAGTATGAAGTGATGCTGAAAATGGTGGATGAGTTGCCGACCTTGGTTGATGGGTGGGATACTTACACTCAGGCAGAATGCATTGAACTATGTAACATTCTGTTTTTCAAACGAATCAGCAAATTCCATTTCGAAGTTATGGTAACGGACAAAACTGCGTTAGAGAGACCGCCGATATACCACTTCTGTTTGGACATAAAAACAACTCATATTGATCGGGCTCGCTTGGTGAACTTCATCTTAAGCTTTTATTTATTCAAATAAATACTATTTCATATATATTACTCATCCAATAAGTTGTAATGACAACATGCAGCCAATTCCAATGGGTTTTTGGAGAGACCACATCGAGGATAACTATGACAACTACACCACGGCGGTCCTCATCTTCGACAAGAAGGTTTATAAAGTCGATGTAATCCATGGCAATGGGAAGAAATTGTTGCAAAACCGTGATGCTCGCAAGTTTGTGATTGATAGTGGTATCTTCGTTGGTTCTTCATGCATGTTCACACATGTCGGACCTCACAAGTCGGATGATGTGATCACCTTCAGGGTTAAGATTTAAGGTTAGTTGCTTAGATATGGGCCATCACAAGCTTATGTTCTTTTTGTTCTTTGTGGGTGGTCATTAATGAAGTGAAATTCTGCTAGATACATTGTCCTTGTGTTTGGCTGGTAGCCTACCTTTTGGTAACTTGAAAAAAGACATAACTTCGGGTGTTTCAAACTTCTTAAGTGTGTTAGTGTGGCAGATGTTGGAATCTTCTTAATGTTGTTGGATACTTCTCATGTCGACTCAATTAATTCAAGTTGTGTGGCAGATGTTTTTCCTTTTCCCTTTTTTTGTGAAATTGGAATGTATAGTGGGATTATTTATCTTACTCTATCATAGGTGTACTCAAATCAAAACATGTTGGATTAGTAAGACCGGGAGACAAAGTGTAACCCATGCACGATTTGGTTTTATAAAAGAACATGCACGCACAACACATTCACAAATCAAAACATACACAACTGATAGGGGCTAAAATCATGCTTCATTATTAAGTACATATCATAATACAACACACAACATGAGATCCGACATATTACACACCATTAAAACAAAGCACAACAACAACGACACTACAATGAGACTTAACACAACAATAAAACGACACTGCATGGAATAACGACCTAACTTGTTAGGGGAGCGTGGCTCATGGACCCTGCAAGAGTGAAGCATGAATAGAAAAGCCATTTGAAAGTGATCTCATTACTTGTTAGGGGTAGAGCTGGAAGCTACAGATGAGTGTATGTTCTCCGCGTCAATTAGCTTACTTGAGTAATTATATGTAGCCCAATGTTTCTTCATCTTACTCATTATCTCTTCAGTGGATGACAAAATGGATGGCGGGTTTTCTGGATCAGGGGCCGAGGTCACACTGACACTCTCCGAGCCGTACCAAGCTAACTCATTCCAAAATGAGTTGTTAGTGTTGGTGGAGTCATTTTCTTGAACTATTTGCCAACCATCCCTCGCATGATGCACATTGTCGACACCGTTTGCGGGCTGATCATTGTGAACTACAACAACATCATCGTCGTCATCTGGTCCATCATCTTGTGGTAGCACATCGCTCAAGTTGATAACTTCATGCACAGAGCCATCGCTAATGGTGTCATCACCCTCGTGGAACAAAGCTTTGAGACCATCGTAAGCACTCTCGCCATCTATCATGTAGGCCATTGCAAGCTTCTCCTCCTACACATTCATTGATAACTGAATATTAAATAAACTTATACATTGATAAACAAATTAACATGCATGATCAACAAAGTCATTAAAAGAAAATACCCTGACGATGTATTCCCATAAGTCCTGGCCAGCAGAAATAGAGTGATTAAATGGATTGTACACCACGCCAGATAGGTGGATTATCCAGTGGAATACATTGTAACGCTTGCGCAGCTTCTTCACGCGATTAACAGCATCTTCATAGGTGAAGTTTGTTCCCATGGAACTGTTAACATCAGTGACGGCACAAAACACGGCGTGAAAGTTTTGTTGATTGGAATCGAAGTTGCCTTCCCTCTTTTGCTCGACAAGGTAGTCGATGAATTTGGTGTCAACGGCCTTTGTCCACTTCTCAGTATAAAATACTTTGGACTGAGCAATTGCACCCTTAGGTCCCTTATTACTGCTACGTTTTCCACGAAGTGAGGAGAACATCTTTTTTTTTTTTAGCCTCTCTGGATTTGTAGTAGTTAGAGTTTGTTGATAGTTTGGTAAGTTACGGTTTTCACATTTTATAACCAAACAAGTTGATGCTTTGTCACCATTTTTTAGGGGCTGGAAATATTCTCTGACAGATTTGATGTAAGATTCCAAAATTGAATTGTTGTTGGTTATTCTATTATGTCTATGAGAATATATTCTCTGCAAAGTGTTGATTGAAGCTTTATCTCTTTTTTTTAGGTGTACAAGACGGCTGAAAACAGGGATACGAATCTATTGGATTGACAACTCAAGTGAGATTAGCATGTGAGATTCACAGTCTCTTCTAAAATAAAAGGTCTGGACAATACATATCAACCAATATGTTCAGCTTTGTGAAATACTTCACGTATTAGGCCATGTCTCGGGGCTCAACATCGAACCACGGCATTGAAGGTTCTTCGCGGAGTAACAATGCTTTCGAAGGATGGAAACCGAAGTGTGGCCATCATGAGGAGGCGCAACTTCTGACGTCCAACACCGACAAAAACCCATGCAGGCGCTATTACCGATGCAAACACCGAAACGTAAGCCTCTCGAGCACGAAATATCATGTTCTTGGTTATAGCCCATATCAATATTGTATTTTTGTTTTTTTTTCTTGCAGACGAATGATTGTCAATTTTTTCAGTGGTTTGATGAAGAGATGTCGTCATTTCAGAAAAACTGTTATTTGAAGCTTAAGCATGAGAAATCGATGTTGGAGGAAAAAATGAGGAACAATGACGAGATGATGCAAGTTGTAATGGAAAAACTAAAAAAGAAGAGAATGAAATTGAATGAATTACGAGACAAACATAAAGAACTCCAACAGCAACTTCTGTCATTGCATAGGGGGGAAAGTAATAACAACAATGTTGTTAAGTGTGTCATTGTGTGTTTGGTTTTAGTGTTACTTTCTGTTTTCTTACTGTTGCAGATTTAATTATATGTAATAACAAGATTGTTGTTAAGTGTGTGTTTGGTTTGTAGTCTTTCTGTTGCAGATTTTTTTACTGTTGCATGTTTAATGATATGTAATGAAAGCTTATAAAATGATGTGTTTGTCATTGGGTTGCAAAGTCATATATGTTCCATTTTCTTTTGGAAATTGTAATTATTTTTTTTTTGTTCATCAAACAGCATAAGATGTTTATGTTGTAGTAACTGAAGACTTCTTTGCTTTGTTGTGTTAGTTAGTTTGACAGGTTTTGGATTGCTACATAGTGTAATTTGTTGATGTTGTTTGGTTGACTCAGGCCCCAACACAGAACTTTCAGTAGAAAGAAAACAGAATAGACAAGAAATAACCTACTCATCAACTTCACTCAATATTTGCAGCATACCAAAAAAAGGAAACCATGTACTGGATTAACAAACCATGTAGCTTCCATTCCAACACAATAAAACCA